CTGAGCCTGGAGAGCCCGTGGCCGGCGCGCGGGCACCTGGCGGGCCCCATGGAGTACCAGTACCAGCGCCCGGCGGGCGCCAACGGCAGCCTCAACGGCAGCGCGGCGGGGCCGCGCGCGGGCCCCCCCTACCCCCTGCACGTCACGCTGGCGCTGGTGGGCCTGGCGGGGCTGCTCATGCTCGTCACCGTCTTCGGCAACGTGCTGGTCATCATCGCCGTCTTCACCAGCCGGGCCCTGAAGGCGCCGCAGAACCTCTTCCTGGTGTCGCTGGCCTCGGCCGACATCCTGGTGGCCACCCTGGTCATCCCCTTCTCCCTGGCCAACGAGGTGATGGGCTACTGGTACTTCGGCAAGGTGTGGTGCGAGATCTACCTGGCGCTGGATGTGCTGTTCTGCACCTCGTCCATCGTGCACCTCTGCGCCATCAGCCTGGACCGCTACTGGTCCATCACGCAAGCCATCGAGTACAACCTCAAGCGCACGCCGCGCCGCATCAAGTGCATCATCGTCATCGTCTGGGTCATCTCGGCGGTCATCTCCTTCCCGCCGCTCATCTCCATCGAGAAGAAGAGCGGGCAGCAGGCCGACCAGCGGGCGGCGGGCTGCAAGATCAACGACGAGAAGTGGTACATCATCTCCTCCTGCATCGGCTCCTTCTTCGCCCCCTGCCTCATCATGATCCTGGTGTACATGCGCATCTACCAGATCGCCAAGAGCCGGACCCGCGTGCCGCCCGGGCGGCGGGGCGAGCCCTCGGAGAAGAGGCAGAACGGGCTGGCCGACAAGGAGGCCGCGCCCGCCACCACCAAGCTCAACGGGGACAAGGCGGCGGGTGGCGCGGACCAGGAGAGGGAGGTCAACGGCTTGGACATGGAGGAGACGTCCTCTTCCGAGCACCAGGAGACCCACCCGAGTAAGAAGCCGGAGAAGCCGCCCAGGGGCAAGGCCAAGACCAAGCTGAGCCAGATCAAGCCGGGGGACAGCTTGCCCCAGCAGGCGGAGGAGGAGAGGGGTGCCAAAGGGTCGCGCTGGCGGGGGAGGCAGAACCGGGAGAAGCGCTTCACGTTTGTGCTGGCCGTGGTGATCGGGGTCTTTGTGGTCTGCTGGTTCCCCTTCTTCTTCACCTACACGCTCACGGCGGTGTGCAAGAGCTGCTCCGTGCCCGAAACCCTCTTCAAGTTCTTCTTTTGGTTCGGCTACTGCAACAGCTCCCTGAACCCCGTCATCTACACCATCTTTAACCACGACTTCAGGAGGGCCTTCAAAAAGATCCTCTGCAGGATGGACCGGAAAAGGATCGTGTGATGAGCGGACGGTGCAGGGCTTGGCCACGCGAGAGAGAGAAGCGCAGGTCCCTTGGGCTGGTTTTGCAGGTGGGGTCGTCCCCTCCTTTTCAAAACTGCGATGAGACGAGCTCTGAACGCACTGGGCAGCAAAACCACAGGAGCGACAGCAGGCAAGCGAGGCGTTCAGGGTTTGCTCGCCAGTTGATCAGTGGATACGTTTGTGACTCGCACGCTTGCCCCTTGAAAAACTGAAATGAAACGCTGACATCCATGCCCGAGAGAGGATTGCACAGCTCCGGAGGCACAGAGGTTTTTTTCTTTTTTCTTTTCGGCTGTGTAGTTGAAAGTTTCAAATCCTTGTATAAAAAAAAACAGTATTGCATCCTGTATGTCTTAATTTTTGTAAGGCCATCGGCTTTGAAATGAACGCTTTCGATATTTTCAACAACTTGAAGCATTAAACAGCAAAAACACCACGATTATTGGAGCCATCTCATCAACTCAGCAGCCTGATAGTATTATCAAGGTTTTCAGACGTGCTCTCGGATTTCA